GAGATGAATAAAAAAAATCATCTCGGCTTAGACCAAAGTCTATATCAAGTAAGGCGTTCTATATTCCGATATACTCGGTTTTCTCTTTTTTCTTGTGTGACTTTATTTTGGTTTTATTTGTATAAAAAAACATGAAGCATAGAGAACAGAAAACATAGAGAAGTAGGCTTGTAAATATAATTACGTAAATAAGTAAAAAATAAAAGCATAAAGAATAGTATAAAATAATTAGCATAATTTACATAAATTTTGCCCACAAAGGAGAATGGTAACTGGTCAAAGATATGTATCTTCCTGAATCCAGCACTGGCATAGTTGAAAAGATGTTGTCAATGAGAGTATTCTGGCTTGTTGTTGATTGAATAGTGTTAGGGAGCGTAGTAGTCATATTTCTGTTATTCATAAATTGAAGTAATGTCGTTTTCTTGATCGATTCTTTCGTGAAATCAACATTAAAGTCACCAGCAATGGTTATATGCATATACGTATGACTAACAACAAATTCTAGTGCTTCCATCAAGGTATTTAGTTGGCATAGTGGGGATATATATATGCTGCAATATAAGTTGCTGCTTAATATAAATAATGATATGCTTGTTGATCCACCTGCTTCATCAATGAACATTCTGGAACTGGTTGTATAAACCAAAGAATCGTCGTTTGAGTTGTTCGTACTAGGTAAAAGAGAGCTACAAATATAGCAGCAAGAACCAGAAACTCGTGCATTGGTTGAATGGCTATCTATGCGAGATATCATGGTGAAGTTTGGAATATCATATTCTTCATTATTAGGCAGTGTCCAAGTTTCATTGCAAAGAATAATATCATATGTTAAGTATACTTGATCGCTGGTTATCTGGTTTATATGTGCCCTCAAGCTTTGCACATTATGTGAAATTAGCTGTATATAATCACTTGTTTCTTGCTTTTGTAGTTGGCTAAATGATAATCCCAACTGTATTGTCTGCTGTCTAATTAGCTCATTTTTCAATTGATTGTTTCGATCTTCTGCTATTGGTCTGAGCAGAACAAATCTGTTACCCTTGCATATTAACTTTAAACCTTCTGCAGAAGTAGCTCTAGAACATGCAACATATAGGAGTGATCGAGACATTCTGTGTGATCCATGGTCAAATACAACAACTGATTTATATGTGCCTCCCTGTGACTTGTGTACAGTGAGTGCTTCAGCTGGAACAACTGGGAATTGTGTACGGGTTAGATGTATCTGACTTTTGATATTTCTGCAAATTATGTTACAGTGTGGTTCTATCATTGTCAGATCGTCTGAAATCCCAAGACTACATCGAATTCTTTGTTGCTGTCTCCTCAACTGCTTCCCACTTCTTTCATCATCAAACCTAATCCACAATCTTAATGGCTTTCTTAAAACTGTAGAAGTAGATGTTTCAGAGGCAGTGCTGTCTGGTACAATATTTTGGCCATAATCAATCCTCTTCAAGATTCCAGTTGCACCATTGACAAGTCCATCTGCTGTATCTAGGTTTGCAGTCATCATATATTTTCCACTTATTTTTAGCAAAAGCGTTTTTATCAGACCCTGAACATCGGATTGCTTTGCATGATCATTAGCAGAATGTATGAGTCTTTGAATAGCAGTGCTATCCCTGCAATGTCCAGTTACTCGGTCAAAGTATTTGGAGATTGCACCTTCAGTATTCAAGCTGGTAAGTATGTGCTGGTTTGTTTGCTGAACGTATGCATTTGTGATAAACAGATATATCGGCTTTTGGTTATTGCTTTCAGATAAATTGTTTTCTTGAGCTACAAGGCTTGAAGGTAATGTTCTTCTGCCAGTACTAATTTCCATTGCATCTTCAGGAGTTATTGAAGCCACTCGACTTTGGAGGATATGAATATCGCCTTCAGTCATTGACCCAATTGTCATGTTGTTTAAGGCTACTGCAAATGGAACATCGTCTCTTTGTTGCATTATCTCCGTTAATTTATGAACTTTAAACAAATCCCAGATCTTGTACCCAAATAAGGATACAAATGGATTTGTATCTCTTGCATGGCTGGTGCTGTAAAGTGGTGTGTCCCCAACTGGTGGAAGTTGTAGGAAGTCACCAAATACAATAACTGATTTTCCACCAAAAGGAACTGATCTATCAAAAATATCTCAAAGTCTTTGATCAACCTATCCAAATAGTGTCTCTCCTACCATACTGATTTTGTCAATAATAACCACTTTCAGGTCTGCAAGTGCAACACCCATTGAATGGGTGACGTCAGATGAGAGTGAGGAAAGACCTTCTCTTCCACGTTGTGTGACAGGAAGATGGAAGGCATTGTGCAAAGTTTGAGCAGATATGTTGAAAGCAGCCTTTCCCGTTGGAGCACAAAGAAGTATGGATGGTGTGCTCATATCTCTTTCTCTTGTTTTGTCAAACTCATGGACAAGACTTTGATAAAGTGCTTTTATCAATAGACTTTTTCCAGTGCCGGATCCTCCTGTTACAAAATAATAAAATGGTGTATGTTGTTGATCAGATATAGAGCTGTTGCTGTTACGAATATGATCAGTAACATGGTACAAGTATTGTCTCTGCTGCAAGTTCAGCATTGATAAAAGCTCTTGATATTCAGTATTATTTAACCACTTTGGAATATTGATTTTTTCAAGGTAGGTTAATCGATTGTTCTGTGTAGCTCCATTTGAATTTAATTCGATTGTTAAATCTGTTGTTCTGTGATACTCTCCTTCTTCATTGTCATCAATATCTAGCGTGTAACGTCTGAAATCGTTTTCAGCAATAGGTGGGGCCAGGGTATCTGTGTTTCCAATGGGTTCATCTTCTCTTTCTGTATCCATGTTACTATGTTCAAGTGAAGCCGTTTCAAAATAACCTTCTAGTACATCATCATCAACCTGACAAAATTCTTTTTTTGCTAGCAGAATAGTCTCAGAATTCTCTAGAAAAACTTCCTTGCAGTTGATACTTAAAAGGTCTTCTTCTTCATTTCTCCAACTTTTGAACAGCATCAATAAGCAACGAAAGTACTCGTCAGCATCTTGATCAATATTAAAGTTGTAGTAACGTAGGACATGCGGCTTAGTTCTTTTTTTAATGTAGTCTTGGTTTTCTAAAAGACAATACACTTGGCCTGGCTCTCCATAAAGCGTGTTTTTGTTATTATTCTGTTGAATATGATCTTCTTGGTCTTCTATGAGCTCATAATAAGTATCATCATTTATGTCATTGTGATCAATATAATTAGTTGTAGTATTTCTTGATGGTTGCTTTTTTGAAAACTCAAAATAAGCAGCAAACTGTGCCAAGGTCAAATTCTTCAAATCTTGGGGCCTACAAATGTAATGCTTAATTAATCCTGGTAGAATTGGGATCCATTGCTACAAGTTTGGATTGCTTCTTTAATATGTGAAGTCAGTTTTCTGGTCTGCTTGTTGGTATAAATACTGTAGCTGTGCTCGCTTCTGACATTCGAATTCGTAGTAAGTTGTATACTGCTTCTTGAGCAGATATCTCACTAGCATTGTAATAGGTTGCAGCAAGTGACCTCATCATATTAAAAGATGTTGAGCTACTGTCATCTTTGTGCTTATTGTAAATTTCTTCAAGCGTCTTACTTAAGCCTCTATCAGCCTTGTTTATATAGTCAACTACATATGCGCAGCAAGCATATGGATCGAGAATGAATTGAATATCCATATTTGATCTGAACATACTGAAATTTTTTTTGTTATAATTATTTATCATGACTTCATTCGGTTGTCGTTTTATCATGATTTTGTTCATTTTAAGAGTGTTGCAAATAGACAGTATGTATTCATCAATAGATGTGATATCAACAGCTATTAAGAAATCATCAAAACTCATGGCTGACGTTTGAAGAGCTTCATAATGTTCTTGGAGATATCCTTTGATGCGAGTCATATTTTGCTTTAATTTAGTAATCATAGTTTCTGATAGACCTTCGTTTTCAGTTATTGGGCATAATATCCAAGTTTTGTCCATAGAATAAAATGGAATATTAAATCTGCAAATTGTAATATTGTTTCTTTTTCTTTGGCAAGTAAATGTGTGCATATGACATTGCCTTTTCAGCAATTCTTTCCAGGTGTTCTCGTTACAGCAATATTCCTGTTGATGATGCGGTATTTCACCCCATTGTCTCTTACAAGTAATCATACTATCAACAAATTTACAGATTTTTCTTTTCATATCCTTATGAACAGATTCGTTTGTCCATTGGTCAGGTTCGTACTTGGGAGCGCCCTTAAGCCATACAAGCATATGAACATGAGGTGAGCCTCTATGCTGGAATTCTATTTGGAAGTAATATTCATTAATGGAATGATTTCCAAAAGGCCCATATGGTGCTTTCCATGTTTTCTTCAGCTGTCTAAATCGGTAGTCAAAGTATTGTGCACATGTTATTGGGTCTTGCTGAATCAGTTTGGCTTTTTCATCATATGTCATTTGCTTTGTCTGATCTTCTGTAATAGCAACTCTATCAGTTACAAGTTTTAAAATGCATAATAGCTCAGGCCAACTTGCTTCTACTGCAGATAAAGTTACAAAAATTGTTGGGATACCAAATTGTCTAACTATTGCCAAAAGATTTTTCTTCTCATTTTTCTAATATTCTGCAGTACAACGGATACCACTAAATGTCTTATAAGCCTGGTCTTTACTGAGTAATCCATCAATACTGTCATTATTTAAGAGGTCGGATGCAATGTATGGTACATTGTTGAAGAGTTTTGTTTTCTTCCAGAGAACTGTATTTAGGTTATGGTACATTCTGATTATTTGATTTTTTCTGTCCATATACAGTATATACTCTACTCTTTGTGCTGTTCTACAATCAAATCTCCTTGCAATGGACTTTGTCAGGAAAGAGTAAGTCAGAGTATCAGTAGATAATTGCTGGTCACAGAAGATTTGAGAAAAAGCCTAAAAGTCACTGTCTTTATCAGTCAAAATAGACAAAGGGATTCTTCCATCTCCAGGCTAAAGTCTGAGAGCTTCATGATCTGAAACTATAGCCGTTTCCTGCTCACTAGAGTTTATTGATTCGTGTTCGGTACTACTTTCTTCATTTCCTTCAAAGTCTTCAACCCTATCAACCTCTTCTACGTTTTCAGTATCATTATTGGCAACCTCTTGTACCCAATTATCACTCAAGGAGATATTATACTCTTGATAGAGTGTTGTTGACTGTAGAAATAGTGCTGCTCTCCAAACTTTAGCAGGACTTAAATTTCCTCTGATATAGTCTTTGATATAACGCATCCTACGAGCTAAACTCAAGTGAATTGTATTTGAGTCGTCAAGATTACAAGGAAGTAATGAAACCATTGTATCAACATTAACAGGTACGTTGATAATACCGCCTTTACTTCTATACTGCTCAGTTAGTCCTTTGTGTGTCCATATAGACTGGAAAACGTGTCAAGGTGCAACAAGTCTTTCTTCTAATCTTGTCAGGTCGTCTAGACAAACGACATGATCAGGAAAGTGGAGACCATTAGAGAGAGCAAGAGTTGGAAGTGTTTTTTTCTTAAGTGATGTTATACAGGTAGAACATAGTGGAATATTGTCTATAATATCTTCACCAACGAAAGTGCTTGGTATCTTATGATTGTCAATTGCCCAAAAGGTTTTTTCAACAATATCTTCTGAACAACCCCAATTGCCTGTAAGAGCGGTTCTTTTTACTGAAGATATATCTTTTTGAAAGAAAAGGCCTTCACAATATCCGCATATGCATGTAGGATCCTTTCTGATTATTGATTCATACTTTCTTTGTATACTACTCCAATTATTTGTGCCAACGTCATTCAGTCTATGCCTTCTTACTACTCACTCATTCTCTTCAACAGCTCTACTTTGTCTACTATACCTATACTCACGCATATATTCTGCTCGAGAATTATGGTTCTCCTCTTCTGTCTCTGCCGCTTCTGTCTCCACTACTTCTGTTCCCACTATTTCTGTTCCCACTACTTCTGCTTGAATTACTTGTGCTCTTACTACTTCTGCCTGAACTACTTCTATTTCAGCTGTAAGTGGGCATCTGCGTCGATACTCCCACATATACTCTGCACGAGAATTACTAATATTCTCTGCTTCTACTGTCTCAACTACTTCTATTTCAGTTATTTGTTGGTGCCTGCGTCAATATTCTCGCATATATTCTGCACGAGAAGTATTAATATTCTCTACTTCTACTGTTGGTATCACTTTCATCTCCACAGTTTGCAGGCAATTCTGCCAATACTCTCGCATATACTCTGCTTGAGACATTGAATTCCGTTGTTGTGTTTCTGTTTCTGATGTTTCTATTTGCAATGATTGCCAACAATTATGCTGGTATTCTCTCTTGTATCTTTGTCTTCTTTCAGCCCTTTCTTCAGAGGTAACAGTGTGTCTAGGCATTTTGTACTTTATAATAATATAATATAAGAGTAAAAGTAAGAGTAAGAAGAAAGTATAATATGCTTAGTAAGCTATAAAGAAGAATCAAAAGCGTCACGTGGTTAAAGTGTTTACATTTTTACTAGTAAAATTCTTACAAACTTTCACTGCTTAAAATTATAACAAACTCCGCATATAAAATTGTTACAAAATCATTGTTTACATTGTTATGGATTTCCCCCTTTTTCTTAGGCTTTCTAACTCCGTAAACTCCATATAGAACGCCAAAAAAGAAACAAGTACTATAAATACTTTATTTGATGTGATTTTATAGCAAGCCAAAAAAATATGAATTTTTTATTGTCTATCTAAACCAATAGAATACGTCAAAAATACACCCCCAACTTAAATAAAAAAAACGGCTGAGCTGAAAAAAAACCCTGACATTTCCACTATCTTTTGCGTTACTTAAAGCTATAGTATTTTTTTTATTTTTCCAGTGTCGGGTTGTAAAGAGAATCTAACATCCATCAGTCAATGGAGATTTAAATATATTTCTAAAAAGAGAAGTGTTATTTTTGCTGGTTTTACCAAAATCACCTCCTAAAATACCATCTAAAATACCACCAAAAAGACCACTTTTTCCCATAGTGCAGTAATATCTTCTACAAGTATATTCACTATTTTAAACATCTAAAGCATATACAAAAGAACAATTGGCAATGACAAGATCTTTTACCCTAAAAGCCAATCATTATTGGTTGCTTGTGCATTCTGATTTTGATTGCCGATATCAACTCTGACAGCTAATTAGATGGAAATGGGTGCCAATTGAATGAATAAAACCAGTAAAAGGAAGATTAACCCAGATCAGGAGCGACACACAACAACTGTTGTTTGAAGCAAAAAAGGTCTCGCCGAGATTTGAACTCGGATAATGAGAATCAGAATCTCAGATGCTAACCATTACATCACGAAACCACAATTATTTTTAATATAAAATGTGTTTAATTATCCACGGTAAACAGAATCTCCTTTGTCCAGCAGTGCGGTGATGTTGCAGAATTCTTTGTAATTCTAGATAAATTATATTCTATTATTTTTTTTTATTTTCTGATGGCAGCTGAGGCTGGATAGAAAGCAATTTTTGTATTTGTATAGCAAAACAGCAATAAGTATAACGAAAAGATATCATCCTGTCAAAAATAACTTTATGTAATCATACATCTTATCTTATTTTCTCATTATATTTAACTGAACATATCAACTTAGAATTAATATTATTTTTATTATATTTTCTTTGCAAGTATAATTATCTTCATGTTTATGACTTAAAAATTATTTTATTTTATTTGCACTTAATAATAGTAAAGAACAAATCGCATTTAATAGATTGTTAATTATATAAATTTTTATTATATTTTTCAATAATTTTATTTATTTAATTATTCAACAAGTCAATTGCAAAGCTATAAATATTATAATACTTGTATTTAATAAACATTGATTTTTCTTTGTTTTATTTTCTAACAACAAATTCTCTTAATATTTAACGCTATTGATATTTTACTTGTTTGATTATCCAAGTACATTAAGTCAAGTCTATTGAGATTGATCAATAATACTATTTTTTTCTTTGTTGTGATGGTTGAAGTTGAAGAAGTTTTTAAGAGGAAGAATTGAAAATTTGAGATTAGGAATGAAGATTCGTGAGAACTTGTGTAGGTTTTGTTTATTGAGAAAGGATTTTATATCAAAGTTTAACCAGGTTTCTACACTGAACTACTACTGCTATTTATATTCTTTTGGATTGGGAAAATTATATGACTGGGGTCAGGTAATCGATTCTATCTGAGTCTTAATCAGAGCAACGTGATCTTAGGATAATTAATGTATGATTAATTATATAAATGTGTGTAGTCCCAATGAAGTATTAACATTGAAAGTAAATGTGTTTATGAGTTATAATTATGCTTATAATAATCCACTGATGTATCTCATATTATGATGATATCATCATATGAAATATAATCACTATCATGTATGCTAAACCTGTGTGTTAAATAATAAAGTAATCGGTAGACACCTTTGACTGGAATAGCTGAGGCCTTATATTATTTCCTTCAGACTTATTCTCAATTACAGCAGTAGTCAATACTCATTTACAATATAGTTGTTCAAATACTGATGTTCTGACCAGACTGAAGGAACTGCAAATCTCTCCATAATTTTCTGGCTTTCCTGAAGTGTTTTTGGCCATCTTATTGCGGTCTTCATAAAGCTTTGGATGATACTATTTACAAATCCATTTGTAAACCAGTTGTAGGATTCTTGACTGACACTGAGAAGTTCTGAAGCCATTCTGTACCCAAAGTGCATATTACTGAGATGCCAAAGCACAACAGCAACCTGTTTTCACAAAGAATGGCTAACCTCGTTTCTTTCTTCTGATGTCTTATACTCAGAGTCTTCTTTGAGAACATTTACAATTATATTAAATGTCTCTCTGTTGACTCTGTAATGAGCCTGGAAGCTGTTGACACCAGTTCCATTGTGAAGGTAAGAGTGACGATAGGTCTACCAATGGTTCATATCTCCATTCAAGTTGTTGTGGATACCACATTGTTCTACGAAATGAAGTAGTGATCACAAGTAGCAAGTGTACTAGAATTTGTCTGTGGCTCAAGAACTCTTAACCAGCTTTGTTGTAATATAAACTTGAGAGAAAAGCGTGAACATAAACAAAGCATGTTCTCTCATTTGTGTCATGTGAGAAATCTCAAGCTCTGAACAGAGTATATTCATTAATTTCAAAATCATAGCTATGTTGGAAAGTTTTGTAAAGCTTTTTATGTATGATTGTAATCTCACTCTTGACATTTGCTTCATGATCATCATTGTAAACATGATTGTTATTTTCATTATAGTTGTTGGTGTTGGTGTTATTCATTTTGAAGATTATATAAAAGTGAAAGAATTAAAAGTATAAAAATAAAAAAATAGATAATATTAGATAGTTATATTTGTTATAAATGTTTATTACTAAAATGCTATACAGTAAAAACAATATTTCATAAGAAAAAATTTAAGCAGTTCTGTAATAATAAGCAGTGTAATGCTTATCATTTTAGAAACTGAATTTGATATCTTTTATGATTTGTATTACTGTATAACTTCTCCACGAATTGAATCAACTCAGTTTATTATATGTTTTTGATTCAGTTTAATTATAAGATTTGATCAAATGACTACCTAATTAATACTTTTATTATTACATTATTACTATATTAAAAGCAAAAAAATATATATCTGTTTAATAAACTGACTCTAGCATTTTCATGTAATATACAGAGTATGCTAATAAAGATCTTTAACTTAGTTTATTTTAAATTAGCATTATTCATTTCCTTTTGCTAGTTCTAAATATTTTTTTCTTTCTGAAATTCCTTCCATTTTTTCCTTCCAGAAGTAGTTTCTCTTACTTATTTTATGTTTTTATACAATTGTTCCCTAATTTAAATAACCCTATCTCATTACAGAATTCAATTCTTATTATTACTCTCATCTTGCTTTTCTTTTACACACCATACACATAACAAAGTACTACACACATCAATTTTGACACGTCGTGTGGTAATGTTGTCAGTCTCAATCCAAAAACTATATTCTACTCAGTTCAGACATTTTTTTTTGAAAACTCCTTTTTAATTTTTTTTCAGAATTTTAATTTTAATTTTAATTTTTTTCTTTCATTTTCACAAAATCACCTTTCTCCAAAAACCAATTTTGTGAAAATTAAAATCTTTTTTTCGTTATTTTTCTCAAAATTGTTTTCTCTCTTTTCTTTTTATTTTTATTTCTACGCACTAAATGTGATACTTTCTCTAAAACACTACTATACCAAAATTGTTAACTGAATAGTTTTTTTCTTTATTTATAACATACTTCTTTCTGATATTTTTCTTTTCTTGTAGTTATGTATTATAACTTCATATATTCTTCTTTTTAATTTTATTCACAACTATCTCATTGAGTTTTATTTAGCCTACTTTTTGCTATATATTTTATATATAAAGTAGTATAAATATCTCTCTGAAATCAATTAATAGACAGCTGCCAAACTTTTCTAATACAAAGTTTTCTTCAAGACACTGCCTATTATTCTGATCTCTCTTTGTGAAATTTCTTCTGTTTTATTTATTTTTCTGTCAAGTCTTCATGGAAGATTGACCCTTCTCTTTTATTTTATTATTTTGTTTTAATTTCCTCTTTTTGGCGCTCTATATGGAGTTTACAGAGTTAGAAAGCCTAAGAAAAATGGAGAAATCCATAATAATGTAAACAATGATTTTGTAACAATTTTATATGCGGAGTTTGTTACAATTTTAAACAGTGAAAGTTTGTAAGAATTTTACTAGTAAAAATGTAAACACTTTAACCACATGACGCTCTTGACTCTTCTTTATAGCTTACTAAGCATATTATACTTTCTTCTTACTCTTACTTTTACTCTTATATTATATTATTATAAAGTACAAAATGCCTAGACACACTGTTACCCCTGAAGAAAGGGCTGAAAGAAGACAAAGATACATGAGAGAATACCAGCATAATTGTTGGCAATCATTGCAAATAGAAACATCAGAAACAGAAACACAACAACGGAATTCAATGTCTCAAGCAGAGTATATGCGAGAGTATTGGCAGAATTGCCTGCAAACTGTGGAGATGAAAGTGATACCAACAGTAGAAGTGGAGAATATTAATACTTCTCGTGCAGAATATATGCGAGAATATTGACGCAGGCACCAACAAATAACTGAAATAAAAGTAGTTGAGACAGTAGAAGCAGAGAATATTAGTAATTCTCGTGCAGATTATATGTGGGAGTATCGACGCAGATGCCCACTTACAGCTGAAATAGAAGTAGTTCAGGCAGAAGTAGTAAGAGCACAAGTAATTCAAGCAGAAGTAGTGGGAACAGAAATAGTGGGAACAGAAGTAGTGGAGACAGAAGCGGCAGAGACAGAAGAGGAGAACCATAATTCTCGAGCAGAATATATGCGTGAGTATAGGTATAGTAGACAAAGTAGAGCTGTTGAAGAGAATGAGTGAGTAGTAAGAAGGCATAGACTGAATGACGTTGGCACAAATAATTGGAGTAGTATACAAAGAAAGTATGAATCAATAATCAGAAAGGATCCTACATGCATATGCGGATATTGTGAAGGCCTTTTCTTTCAAAAAGATATATCTTCAGTAAAAAGAACCGCTCTTACAGGCAATTGGGGTTGTTCAGAAGATATTGTTGAAAAAACCTTTTGGGCAATTGACAATCATAAGATACCAAGCACTTTCGTTGGTGAAGATATTATAGACAATATTCCACTATGTTCTACCTGTATAACATCACTTAAGAAAAAAACACTTCCAACTCTTGCTCTCTCTAATGGTCTCCACTTTCCTGATCATGTCGTTTGTCTAGACGACCTGACAAGATTAGAAGAAAGACTTGTTGCACCTTGACACGTTTTCCAGTCTATATGGACACACAAAGGACTAACTGAGCAGTATAGAAGTAAAGGCGGTATTATCAA